AAAGGTGATAGTAAAGGTGTTTTTCAGCAGACATGAATGTGCCAAGGATCAAAGTAAAATGAAAAGTGTGATGCATCCAAAGTTCTATCTCCTGCATCAACCCAAGTGCTTAAGGCATCTGTGGAAGAAGAATGTGTAACATCTGTTCCTGAAATGGGGCTGTTTCTCAGCTGTAGGGGTACCCAGTGCCCATAGTTCCCAATATAGACAGGGAATCTGGGCAGACTTCGCCTGAGGCCACAGTGGGAACACCGTTGTGAGTAAAACTCTGGTTTACCATCCACCTGCCACCCCTTTGAAAACTGTGTCTGTCATATGTAACCAGAAACCCAAATTAAATTTTTTTCGCTCTCACCTAAATCCCTTTGTGTCTCAGTGGTCCTCAGCCCACCTGTGTTATGACGCTGTTGAATGAGGCACTTCAAAATAAATTTGTGTCCAAATTGGAATCTGAATCACGAACAACAATAAACATATTGTCCTGTTTTATAATGGCTTTATGACTATTAGGCATTCTGGTTCTGTAATGTCAGGAATCTCCACAGATTATATAGAGAATAAAAAATCTTAGTCAGGTCCTATAGGATAGGAGGGAGGCTAGAGAGGAGTTAAACTCTTCCTGGGTTAACCAATGGTAAAACAGTATACTTTGTTTCACTGTGGCAGCGCAACAGGGATGTTCCTTATTCAACAGATTAAGTAAAAATGACCATATTTCAAAGGAGAGCACAAAGAGCGTTCATAAACAGAAGAAAGAAGGACCATTGCAACGGACAGTGTGACATATCCCAGGGGAGAGCCTAACAGAGTCCATCAAGTCCATCTGCCAGTTCAAATGCTTGATCAGCCGACATAGGTCTGTTTTTTTGTGTTACCAAATCTTTTCTGAAGACTTCTAGTGATAGGGATCAATCACAGCCACATCTGTAGTTCCTATGATGCTGTGTGGATACCCATGGTATTAATCAGATTTGCCGACTGGCAAATCTTTCGCATCAGATTCTCAGGATTCACCAAGACAGGACAAATATTTAAGGTGTCCATACCAATATTCCCCAAATCACTGTTCAGAAGATTGCAGTGTAGAGTATAAACTTTGGTTTCTTTGCGATAAACCTGTGACAATTCCCAGCTGAAGAATAAGAAAGGAACCTGAGCCTCTGAATTCCTTTCTCCCCAAGAAAGCCTTTTTCCAAACTGTGGAAGATACATTTTTGTGCCATTTTATTTCCCCATTTAGCCCTTTCTGCTCCCCGTGCCAGCTCCTTGCTCCCAGAGTGTCTGCATTAAAAAAAAAAAAAAAAAAAAGTTCCATAGAAGGAGAGAGGAAACTTAATTATTTTCCTCTCAGTGTTTCTCCCTATAATTGGTGTCTTTCATGTCAAGATGATCTCAATTTGTATTATGGGCTTCATGCAGGCAGCACTTTCTCTTTGGTCTATAAAGAAATTGTCAAGTGTATAAATCATAGTGTACATTAAATTACGCTAGCCTTTTACTTATTAATTTCCTCCGTTTTTTCTCCCTCTGTTGTATGCTTATTCCCTCCCTCTTTTTTTCTTTTTCTTGGGGATTGTCTTCATTTTCTCATGCATCAATATATTTAAAAAAAAAGCAACAAACAAAAAAACTACCCACAAAAGAGAAACCTCTCATTTTTTGCTAAACAGTCTGATGATCTCCTGCCTTTTGCAAACTGACCACTTCCAACTCAACAACAAGCAGTAAGAGCTCTGTCTAGTTTTTCTAAAAGCTAGATGCAAAGCTTACTTGAGATCAGTGGGATTTTCATGGCCTTTAGTGGGCTTCAGACCAGCACCTACATTGGCTGGCGTTCTGCATTGCAAGGCTGTGTCCATCTTGGAGTTCAGCCTCTTGGGACTATATGCAGCACACCTCCTGTAAATTCCTGGCTACTGTGACTATTTCTCTTACTGACTGCTTGGGATGCAGGTTCTGGCTATTTCGAAGTGAGCACCGGGGACCTCTGACTATTTGATTTAGATTAGCCATTACGTCCACATTAGGAACCCATAATATATAGTGCAGATATATATATTTGACAGTGCAACTGTCAAAAGTTAACAGCTCTCAAGTCAGACCTTGGAGCACGGATGGTGTCAACACCAACCTGCTATAAACACAAACCAATCGCAGTGGCTGAGCAGCTGGGGGAAGCTAAAGCACGGTAACCGGGAAGTTTGGCTTCATTATCCCGTGCATGACAACCAAGATGGGGTTCATCTCCCCTAACTCTAACTACATAGACTACTTTTGTGATTAGTGGAGACAACCAAGTCCTGCAGAATACCATTCCATTGTTTTCATCTCAGACACCAATCTTAAAATTACACTTTTTAGACATCTGGAGCTACAAACATAAATTACCCTCCTCACTTGTGTGACGGATCTTTCACGGATTTCACGGAATTGTCAGAGTTGGAAGGGACCTCTAGAGATCATCCAGTCCAACTCCCCTTCCAGAGCAGGATTGCCCAGAGCACATCACTCAGGACTGCATCAAGGCGGGTCTTGAAGATCTCCAGAGAAGGGGACTCCACGACCTCCCTGGGCAGCCTGTTCCAGGGCTCCGTCACCCTCACTGTAAAGAAGTTCTTCCTCATATTTGAGTAGAACTTCCTATCTTCCAGCTTATGCCCGTTGCCCCTCTTCCTATCACTGGAAACCACTGAAAAGAGTCCGGCTCCATCATCCTTCAACCCACCCTTTAGGAACCTGTAAACAGAGATGAGGTCTCATCTTCTCTTCTTGAGGCTAAAGAGCCCCAGGTCTTTGAGCCTTTCTTTGTAAAGGAGGTGCTCTAATCCCTTAATCACCTTGGTTGCCCTATGTTGGACTCTCTCCAAGTAGTTCCCTGTCCCTTTTGAACTGGGGAGCCCAGAACTGGACACAGTATTCCAATTGTGGCCTCACCAGTGCAGAGTAGATGAGGAGAATGACCTCCTTTGACCTGCTGGCCACACTCTTTCCTATGCAGCCCAGGATTCCATTGGCCCGCGTGGCAACAAGGGCACATTGCTGGCTCATGGAGATCCTGCCATCCACCAGGACTCCCAGATCCTTTTCCTCAGTAGTACTTCCCAGAAGATCCATCCCTAACCTATATTTTTCCATGGGGTGCTACCTCCCCAGGTGAATTACCTTACAGTTGCCCTTGTTGAACCGCATCAGGTTCTTCTCTGTCCAGCTCTCCAGCCTATCCAGGTCACATTGGATGGGGGCACAGCCCTCTGGAGTGTCAGACAGCCTTCCCAGTTTAAACCTCTGTAACAGCTAGCTGCTCACATGTGGTTACAGGAGCCCTGTGGCAGGATGCCCATCCTGCTGCTGGTAAATATATCACCTCCAGCCCTGCTAATATCTTGTGGTACCTGTGGGAGTGACAGGTCTTTACCGTTGCAGAAGCAGGGGCTGAACCAGGTTCTTTGTTCGTTGTGGCACTTCAGCTGTCTGGAGTTTGTTGGATGGTACAGGCATCCAGGTGAGCAGAAATTGCTCAGTAGTGTCTGGAGCCGTAGATACTTCTCTTCCCAAGTGAAGTCTAACTGTGGTCGGTTTATGGCTAAGTACATTTTCCTCTTGAGACAGCAAAGAAGCAGGATCTGCTAGGCTCTCCATCATCTTAACCTACTTGTCAGCCAGCTTGATAACTTTTTATTACTAAATATGTGTGCAAAGTAATTAGAATAAATCTAAATGATTATGAACTACTTTGAAGAAAAAAAGAAAAGGTAAATTAGGGAAAAAAAAAAAAAAAGAAAAAGAAAACTAACAGCCTTGTTGCCCTACTGTTAATAGCCACAAATAAGGGAGGGGCAACATCATCTAAGGCACCCTGTGACACTTACCAACCAATTTGTGCTCTGACTTTACTGGGAAGGAATATGTTGGGAGATTCCCATTGCCTTCTGAATGCCTGCTCTTTGTGATGCCAGTTTGAACTTACCCTTTCTTTGATTGCCAAATCTAAACGATAATTTCATTCCACTCAGGGGTGATCACACACACAAAGATATTTTGGATAGTTCATCTGCATAATGTATGGATTGCTTAAGTGATATGGAGGAAGAGGCAGGGAAGGGCTTTCAGATTAAAAACTCAGCTGGTTCTTCATCTCCAGCTACTTACAGGAGGGGTATTTCCTCACCCCTCTTCATCAGACACCCACATCATGTTAGGAACTGCCATTGAAGACGATTGCAAACATCTGTTGCCCTTTATCCTTGGAGTTAACAGCTCTGGGAATAATGATAGTCCCCAATGCTTCTGTTGAGAGAGAGAGAGGGAGGGGGATAAGTTGAACAACAGAAATCCTATTCGCAGCATGATGGCAAGTTTTTTATTCTTGCTTATGTTCTGATGTGAGAAAGGAAAAAGATGCCTGAAAAAGCAAAAGAGTGAGATGTTTCAACTCATATTCTACCCTCTCCCCTCAAAAAAAATCTCAATAACCAACACACCTGCAACATGTGGATAAACCATATCCAAATCTCATTCCTCAAGTATGAAATGGATTCTGCTACGTTACAGGTGACTATCCTACTAAGCTAGCAGTGGAGGTGGAATTCACTTTTCCATTTTCTTTTCATCGTGCCAATCTCAAGAAATCTTTGCAATTAAAGTTTCACTGTTGCTGATGTTCTGACAAAGCATTTCTGCTCTGACACAGTAGTGTTTCCAGAGGAAACTATTAGAAATTTTAAAAGTTATGTTTAAAATTTCATGACCTGTGTGAAATGAGTCAGATCCCTCTCCCAGTGTGATTCAACAGAGCCTCTGTCAGGTAAATGGGGTGACACTGATTTACCTCGAACCAAGAACCAGCGTGTACTCTGTTGTTACTTCTTTCCTTACTAATTGCTTTTTTCCCCCTCATAGAGTAAATTCTGGTGATGCATGGTAAAAACACAAAGCAAGCCTCTGTGTATGAATGTTTGATTCCACCATTAATTATATTCTCTCTTTGCTCTTTCTTACAGATGAACAGACCAATCCAGGTGAAACCAGCGGACAGCGAAAGCCGAGGAGGTAGTTGACTGCATTGCTTTCAGCCACAGTGCTAAGTATAATTGTTGTCTCTGGCTTCTCTCAGGCAATGTGCTGATCAATTAGTAACGTAATCACTGCCAAAGAAATTCCCTCTGCAGCAAAGATTCTCTTTATTAAATCTCCTTTACTTCGTCTCGCTTTCCTCATATTCAATTATTATTTGATTTTAAAAGGCAGGCAGGTGCCAGCGATTGCCTGGGAAACAAATAACTGCCTCGTTAAGAAGTGAAGCATCAGGCGCTGACTTAACAAAGTTTAACAGCGGTGACGGCAATGTAGGCTTTTCAGACCTATGTTGGGCTGAGCTGCAGAGGTGTTTAATTTGGTTAGGATAAAGCAGATATTTTATGGTTTCTCTGACCATGTTGTTTCTGCTTGGATGGAAGCAACTCTGCTTTTGGAAAAAGCAAATTCTGAGGTAGCAGGGGTTTCTGCACCTTTATCAGCTTATCTGGATAAACCTGTTGTGGAAACTGAAGACTTCTCTCAGTCTCAGGGAGTTATTCAGGATTTGCACAGGTGTAGCTGAAATGAGAAGCTGGTCTTTTGCTTTTCCATCCTGCACAGTGGATTTGGAAGGCTTGGCTAAGTGACCGCTCAATAGATCACTGGTGATAAGGTGTTTCCTGTAAAAGGTTTTCTACCAGAACTGATGTGGTGATACTTCACCCTAGTCTTCTAATAGGGACCTGTTTGTCAGATCAAACACAGAGCTCAGTGAGAAAGTGTGAGATGATCCAGTATGCTGGATAAATTACCTTTTTGTTTGTTTTTTTTTTTTTTTTAATGTATGTACATTAATATATACTTGCATATATAAAGACATGGTGCTTCCTTCCTCTCAATCACTATCTCTTTGTGGAAAAAAAGGAATGGCTTTTGCCTACATATGCATTAAAAATACTAGTGGTTATATATCATTTAAATGTGGGAGCAGATTTTGTCATCTAGTAGTGATGTGGCTTTTAGGTGTGTGTAAATTCTTTAGTTTCCACCACAGAAGTAAATGATTCCTCATTTATATCTTTGTGTCGGAATTAGTGGAAATCTCCAGCAACAGCTACTTAAAAGGAGTAAAATGCCTTACAGACGAAAGGCACTGAAATTGTGTTCTTTTTTCAGTTGAAAGCTTTGGATTCCAGAGGCTTTGACTGCATCAGTGTGAGGCTGAAACTCTCCAGTGACTCAAGTCATTGGAAGACTTTGTACATAGCTTGTAGTTAAAGGGCTGGTGTTACGGAGTGGTGAAACCGGCAGGTCGACAGAGGCTCTGTAAGGAAGGGCTGTGGTGCGGTGTAATTGCAGAGCACGAGAAGAGCTGAGTGCTGGAAAGATGCCAGAGAGCTCAGGGATAAATATTGCGCTTTCAGAGTCCCTGTAAAGTAAATTTAGGGGAATTTGGCCAACACCGGGCAGAAAATATTCGATGGGCTCTTCGACGGCAAGTTCTGCTGTCAAGGGCCACAGCACATTTCTAACCTGCAACAAAGGCATGTCACATCGTACAGCGTTGTCCGGTGGTTTTTAATGTGCCCCCTTTCCCATCCCGTCTGACGATCTGGCTCCATGTCTGAGTAGGAGTGGGTAAGCCATGGGCAGTTGTCAGTGCTGATCTCCTAGGGGAAAAGGGAAAGGCTCAGCTGCCTGGGCAAATGAGGGGACATTATGCACATTCCAGTGGAGCTCGTGCCGACAGCGAGAGTGAAGGGAGGGCCTTTTGTCTATTTAATTAGACATAGCAAAAAATAATAATTAGGCTGGCCAATTTGCTTAGTGCGCCTACAGGGTATGCAGCTCCCAATCATTTTTTTTTTTTTTTTTTTTTTAATGCAAATCACTAATAGAGAGCACATGTCTGGCTTTCTGGGAAGGGTTTTCAAACTCTTTTGCTAAGAGCAGCTGCTTTCAGGAGGGGTGGTTTGAACTGCAAAGGGCTCTGGTGGTGGTTTGATCCCACATTATTCGTCACACCAGTAGTTCCCTCCCCATTGTATTTTAGCTAATTATCTCCCCAACACACATAAACCTCATTTTTCACACCCGCTCCGCTTCCGTATCACTCCTGTCGGTGGTGATCATAATGCAGGGGGCCAAGCGGGTGCACTCATCATTGGCGTGAAAGACACGTTGTCCTAATTCCCCACTGACAAGCTGCTTCTGGGCTGGTGATGTTTCAGGACGGCATGACTCAAGGGCAACTATGGGAGAAAAGAACAATTGGCACCCCAGGGAGGCATTGTATGAAAACTTACGTTCTTGTTCTTCGTGAGCCCACCGGTTAAAGCAGGCACGGCAAACAGAATGCTAAAAAGGAGGCCGTGTATCTTAGGAGCACATCAAAAGACTTCATTAGGGCTGCAAGATAAAGGTCAACTTCAACAACAAAGAAACTTAAGTTGTAGTTTATTATACCCCATCCATGTACTTGGATGGGATGTGAGGTAAAATGAGGGCTTGGAAAACGAAGCAGTGGTTCTGCGCAGCACAAGTCTTCTGTCTGCCCAAAGCCCACACTCTGAATACACCTCTATCTTCTGGCTTACGGGGAGTTTTGATGCCAGGTCAAGGTATTAAGGAAAGAATGCAGTGCTTTTTGAAACTGTAGTTTACAAGGAGGCTTTTGCTGGAAATGGTGAGCAGCATTCTTGAGGAAGGGAGATTGTGTTTTGTTTAGGGACAAATACCTGCATTTTGCTAAAACACGAATCTTTGACTTTTCCCATGAGTTCTCCCACAGTCCAAAGCCGATAGGAGTCCAAAATTTACTCTTTTCCCCAACCAGATTCTGCTCAGCATTTTTTCCTCCCATTTTTGAGTCTGGATTTTCTTGATCTTTAATCCTTCCCGTCTCTTTATTCTCCGTTGAACTGAAAATGGGTGTGTTAGCATTGAGCATGTGTGAGCAAGAATTTAGACTTTCAGACCATCTAGGTTTGGGGAAGAATTCAAAATATTGCTTAGTACAAATTACACTCGACCCAACAAAATGGAAATGCTGAGTGCCCCTTATTAGTTTGGCTGATTTTATTATTTTATTTGTTAATCCCCATATTGGACTAGGAGCAAGACAAAGAATGCAATCCTTTTCAATAAAAAATGGCATTATTTACATTTGCCTAATCTCACAGGAACTAGAAATGAATGTATTCTCAGTACATTTCTTTAGGGAAACAGTCTAAATTAATGGGAAAATTTTGCGTTTTGTGTTCCTGCTTGTTTGTGTGTGTGTGTACAGTCAAACTACAAAACATTATACAAGGGTATTCCTTCTAGAAAATGCTTCATGAAGCTTCAAATACCTGATTGGAAGGTCAGAGTCCTTTGACATTTTATAGAGACTTTAGCAATGATGGAATTGATAGAATGTGATAAAAAGGCAACAATTCTGTATTTTGTTCTGAAAAATCAGAGTGCAACTCTAGCTCTATTAAGGGTATCTTAAAACTCTCATTGACCTTTGTGTTCTTCAAATTTAGCTTGACTATACAGAACCTCCTTCACCATAGATTAGGTAGTCCAATGTGATTGTCCGGATGTAAGCTATAACTCCATGTTAAATTCTGAACGTGACAAATACCAATTAAACTGATAGGGTTTTCTATTATTTTCATCCCATTGCTGATGATCTTTCTTGGTTCCTTGTCTCACATGCAGCTCTAAAAATAGTCTGTAGATATCAGTGACTTAAAGTTTTGCAAACTTAGGGAAAGATTTCAAGTCTATTTTGTGGTTTGGGGCAAAAGTTTGGAGCCATTTCTTATTTTATCCACAATATCTCTAGCTCTCTCTAGACAACTCTCACTGCAGCTGGCAGGGTTAACCTATGATAAACACAGCCCCGAGGTCCCACTAGGTTGTACAGGGAGTAACATTTTTTAAAAGGAAATTACACTCCTGCTACTCTAGTTGCACTCCGTTAGTGATGCTTAGATGCTCCATTGCTCCCATATTCCTCTCAAAGGACAGAGGAAGGTCCGTGAAGGAAGGCATGAAATGATGCACACTGTGTGCTACCCAGGCCCAAGGTTGTCCCTACCAAGAAACACTTCACAGTGGTTTTGGGGTCCTCCTGCATTCTACGGAAGAGATACAGAAGGTTCCTGGAGTAAAGAAAATAAAAAGGCAAAGTCTAAAGTGATTTAGAGTTGAAAGGGTGCAATGTCCTGCAGAGAGTGTGTTGAGAGATTTACAGGAGAGTCTGTAGTTCACAGCACTGCCGTGCTTTCTGCATACAGGACACCACAAATCTACTAAAGCTTCTGCCTGTGTTTGTGCTTTCAAGCAAATTTGCTTGAGTATGTTTGGCGGAGGCATGTGCAGTGTGTCTTTTTTTTGTCTGCTGTTTGGGGGATGTGACAGCAGCAGCTGGAAGGGTTGGACTTCATATTTCAACCAGCTTGCATTGTTTCTCTACCTGTTACTCATGTGCAGGCTCTGAAATTATCTGCTTGGTTATGGTTTATTCCAGCTTCAGAGCAAAATGTCCAAGTACTCATTTACAGTAAACAGCAAAATAGTGGTTTCTTACTCACGTACTATGATCAACTTCATTTTATTCCCTTCCATCAGTTCAGCAATGATGATGGGGGCAGAATGGCCTCTCCACACTTTCTAAGCCCTATTTTCCTTTGGGATAAATGTCTGGATCTATTTCTTATTTCCTCCGGCCATTTCTAACTCTCAGTAGCTCTCAGCTGCAGCTGGCAGGGTTTGTCTGTGACAAGCACAGCCCCAGGTCCCACTAACTCTTTGGCATTTTGCTGTTTTCCCTTTAACTGATAGAAACCCTATGACCAAAACCTCTCAGGAAACTTCCTATCCATGTATTAGCCAGATCCTAGCCTGTTTAGGTGCTGAAATCAAGCAAGACTTGTTTGCCTCCAGCTTAATTTGGCTTCACACTGGTATAACAATGCTATGGAGAATTATTTCCTTCTTCCTTGGAAGTGTTTCGCGAAGATGAGGTTTGCTTGCCCACC